AAACCCAGAGTTTTCCCTGAAGTTAGCTCGCTAAGCGAAAATCCGGCTTCGTAGTACAGGCCTCAGGCAACCATGGCAACCATGCTCGGGGGGGGGCTTCTTCGCTGCTTTTGGTGTATTTTGTGGCGGAAGTACAGCGCCACTTACAGGCCCGGCATACGTACTACAGCGTCTCCAGTGGGTCGAGCGGTCTCGTGTGGACGGACACGTTTCTTGAGCTGATTCCGTGTGGACGGAAGACTTTTTTGATATCGCCTAAGGTTCGTTTTCGTCTCCGTGTAAACGTGGTCCTTAGTTAAACTTTTAAATACGAAAAAAACATTGTATTTGTATAAATCAGCAAACATTAAACCGACTAAAAGAGCTGTCTGTGAGTATCTCTTAGTATCATAGCTACTAATGGATTAAAACTGGTGTGATAATGGAAATGCTCACCGGAAGGGTTTCTCCCCAGTGTGTGTGCGAATGTGCTTCCTCAGGTCGCTCAGTGTGGTGAAGTACTTGGAGCATCCGTCTGATTCACAGTTGAATGTCTTGCCTGTGTGAAGTCTCTGGTGTGCTTTCAGTCTGCAGAGACAAGTCATTGCTAAGTGTTATTAAACATGCAGAGAGAAACTAACTAAACACAGTGGCAGGGAAAAAGGAAAGCTTCAAATATGAGTGGCGTTGAAGATTGGCAGGAGAACCGAGTCCAGCACCAATGTGTGGCTTTGGTTCGCTGTCCTGAGTACGACTATCTGACAGCAATGGCACAGCTTCACCAAGCCACAGACATGTTGCCATAGAAACTGAACCAATAACCCCCCCCCCAACCCCCATAATAAACTGGAGAGTGAACAACACAAGATCACAGCAACATTTAAACTGTTAAAATGCAACAAAAACAGGCTTAAAATTAATCAAATATAGAATGAAATTGTAATTGCGCCTTATGTAGCATCATTATCTGCGGTTTCAAATTCAGACAATTCAAAAAACAGATGTTCCTCATTTATAAATGACACAGAATCTTTTAGTGGGATTGTCCCCATTGCAGGTTGCATGACTCTCAACCAGTCAAGTGTCAGTTTACAACCACAGCATTTATGAATGCTTTAAATATGAACAACATTTGTTTTGTAAGGTCAACAATGTGTCTGTATGGCAACAGTATACATTTAAATTATATTTAATGTTGTATTGAGTCAATCTCATCTTGCATATTGCAAAGTTAAACATGTCAGTACAGTGGCAACACAAGTTAGGCCATCAACTGTTCTGTAAGCCGTGTCTACAGTTTTTAAACACTGCTTACAGAACATATACTACTTATCATGATCTGAGCAGCCATGAGTAGAAATAAAGCATAACTCAGCTGTGTAAAGCCGTACCTGTATAACGTGTTGAAGGCCTTCTCACAGCCATGCACATCACACTCAAACGGCTTCTCCTTGGTGTGCACGCGGACATGGATCTTGAGGCTGTAGGAGGTGAGGAAGGCCTTCCCACAGCCCAGCTGATTACACACGAATGTGTACTCGCCCCGGTGCGTCTTCTGGTGCGTTCGCAGGTTTCCCGCCGTGCTGTACGTCCTGGTGCAACCTTCGAACATGCACTGGTAGCGCTTCACCTGGAAGAGGAAGAAGACGGAGGGGACATCAGTGCCATGGTTGAATTCAAGATTCAAAGCTTTATTGTCATGTGCACATTAGCTACAGTGTAGCCATGGCAATGAAAAACTGAAGTCACAGCTTCCTCCAATAGTGCAACATGAATATATTATATAGAACAAATAAAACCAGAGAAAATAGTGCAAGAGAATGTTTTGAGAAGTAAATACAAATAAAATAGAAATAGTGCAAGAACAATCATCCTGAAACTAAGGAGTCAAATCGAATGTCCTCTCTTAAAAAGAATCAAATCGTATTAAGCCTGTATTTAAAACCAATGCAAGTCAAAGTGAGTGAAAGTAATGTGAAATATTAATCCATCAAAGTATAAATATCATCAAAGTGTCAGTGTGACCTATCAGTTGTTACTTGAACTCCGTGACTCAGCACATGGAGCGGGTGAACACAAAGGACAGTCATGAGGACTAACCCCCACTGCAATACATCCAACTCAATTCTGTTTCACAGCGGCCAATCTCCACTGCAGTGTGGCGGTCTCCTGCTCTCTCCTCACACAAAAGCCCCGGGGCCGTGTGAATAAAGGCAGTTCATTCTCTGCCTGAAAAAAAAAATGCTGTTGAACACAAAGTCAGGAGGAGGAAAGCTTGTGGCGGGCCAACAAAAGGGTCCTCTTTATCAGCTGAAATCTTTCTTGTAACTGCTCTTGAATGAATGAATAAATCCACCATAAAATGACCCATAAAGATGACAGAGATAGAACACTGCTTTTTTTACCCCTGGCCATATTAGAACAGGCTGCTGAGTGTAATAGAAGAAAGAGAAAATGTCATGTTCACAGAATGTAATCATAAAAAAAACATTATAAATAGCTGTGCACAATTTCAAAGATAGCAAGGAAACTGAAATTACATGTTTTATGACTGTGAATGTTATGACTGAATAATACACTTAGCAGTCAAATCAGGGTTCATACACTCTTTCACCAATGATTTTCAATGACTTCTCCAGGACCTTTCCCTCATTTTCTAATGACCAAAAACATTACTCTTTCTCAGCGGTACCACTGAAAATGGTTTATTTTAACATGGAACAGGAAAATAAGGTCTGCATATGAAACATGTTGTGCCTATCTAAAACAAATCAAATAGTAAGCTTACTAGCTTCTACTAAAATCTCTCACCAGCAAAATCCCTCGTCAGTTAAATGCCATTTTACGTTTCATTACTATACGATACAGTATTTATTATCATTATAGTATTACTATTTTGGCGATTAGATAAAATATAAATTATATTTGATTCAACTTTAGTAACATTTCCATGACTTTTCCAGGTCCTGGAATTTGCATTTTGAATTTCCATGACTTTTCCAGGTTTTTAATGACCGTAAGAACCCTGTAATAAACTCAGAATTCCTAAAACAGAGACGGCTGAACTTGTTGCCAATATGGATGCCAGATTCTTGAATCTCTCGACAACTCCTCGGCTGCGTGGATGTCTGTTTGTCAAAGCTGAAGCGAAGGCCAGACTCACATTATGGATGTTCTCCCGGAGGTCTGAGTCTGTCGAGATGAGGCTCAGGTCACTGAGGCACAGCGAGTGATTTGCATCCTGTAATTAAAACATGAATCAGACCTGATTAAACTCCACACTGTTGTTGTATTTAGCACAATTGTAAAATAATACAACACCTGCTGAATGATAATGTAATTACCACACAAGCTAAACTCGCAGCTAAGGCCAATCAATAACAATTATCCTTTAGGTCAGTGGTTCTCAACTGGTCAGGCCTCGGGACCCACTTTTTACTTGGTCAATACATCGCGACCCAACATGTTTGAAGCACTCAAATCTATTCAACAAAAAAACCTGCTGTAATATAAACGCTTTTCAGCATACAATATTAATAAAAGTGAATTACAGTGCATATATCCCTTCACAGAACTAAAGTATGCTTTTAAAAAAGGTTTAATGAGATGATGGAATCAAAGCTGAACTATATAAAAAGGCACACATGCTGAAAACCCAACCCAAGGGGGTCTGGGGGGATTGTCCCCCAGGAGATTTTTAGAAATACTAAGATAAACTATGCATTCTGGTACACTCTGAGAACGACTGCATGCACAGCGTTAGAAAATCGGGCCTTCAAAATAAAAGTTTGACTTCCCCCTCCCCCCCCCCAAAAAAAGAAAATAATTCCAATTATTTATTTTTTTTCTTCACTCACACATCCGACCGCGACCCACTCGAAACGGGTCCGCGACCCATTTTTGGGTCGCGACCCACCAGTTGAGAACCACTGCTTTAGAAAGCCGTGTGCAAGATGTGTTTAGTACGAGTGACTTCACCTAAATCCTTTTTTTCATTTAAAATGTGTGGTGTAAAGTGTAAACATCTTAAACTCCTTTTCAGACTATGGCAACACCTCGCAGCTATACAGATTTGAGTTTTGTTTGGCCCGCTCATCTCTAGAATGCCTCACATCTAGTAGCAAAAGTTGACACATTTGCTTGAGAGCATATAACACAAGTACTGTGTAGGTGATAACATGCACGTGATGTCCCCACATCAAAAGGAATATAGAAGCGAAAGAAACAACATCTGAATGCAGTGAATAATATGAAGACCACAGAGACATGTTGCGCTCATGACTCACTTCAGAGAGCGGATGTGTGAGGGTGACAGTGAAAGGTTGTCCTTTGTCGTGGCCCCGGACGTGACTCTTCAGGCTGTACTGGCTGCTGAACGTCTTCTCACAGCCGTCACTGGTGCAGTTGAAAGGCTTCTCCCCTACAGAAGAGGAGAGACAGGGGGGGGAGGGGGGTTAATGAAACTACAGCACTAACCTTAGCATATTTATAAATAGGTGGATCAGAATATAGGAACGAAGTCAGCAAGTTGTACACCTGAACTTTTGAAAGAACATTCATGTCTTGGCAACTTATATCAATATTCCAATGACTTGTATATAAACCATTCTGCACTATTTCTATTATATTCCATTTGATTGTATTTACTTGCACTATTTAATCTGTGTTATTGTGTTGCACTGTTGGAGGAGCCTGTGACCTCAGGTGTTCATTGTCATAACCACACTGTAGCTATGCACAAAGCCTTGAGCCTTGAGTCTTCTTAATGGCTGCTCTTTTAAATACATTGCTACACACACATTTGAAAAGGTAGACATTAGGATATATTTGGTCGGGCAATTCAAACTAACTGTGTGTGGGAGGGTTTGGAAACAATGTAAATGTAAATCAGGCAGAGCTGAACAAACAAAAATGTCCTTGTTCAAAAGTATTCAAGGTTAAATAAAATAAAATGAGGAATATGTACCTGTGTGTGTCCGTACATGTGTTTTTAGGTGATGACTCGCAGCAAAGGCTTTCCCACAGCCATCGTGGTCACACCTGAGGGGAAAGAGGGGAACATTTCGATAAATAACACATTGATACATTTTGAAGACCATACATTTGATAATTTTTCAGATTTGTCAATGCACCTGCTAAAATGAAAAGAACTTGACTCATGATATAGCGAACTATCAGATAGGTAAATAATGTGTTGAATACAGAGAGAGAGAGAAGACACATTTGGTTAAACTTTTAAATATGAAAAAAACATTGTATTTGTATAAATCAGCAAACATTAAACAGACTAAGGCCACGTTTACACGGAGACGAAACGGGTTGTATCCGTTACAGTTCTCTATCGTATGGACGGTTAGTTCACACGAGGCCGTAACGGAACCGCGGAAACGGAGCCCTCAAACGGTAACGGGTCCCAAGGTGGATAGATCTGCGGACG